TTGCCCATGCCAAGGAGAACACAAAGGTTCATTTCAGCTCCTTTGTATTGCTACTCCAGCTCTATCGAGTGTGGGAGTGGCTTGAAGCTGATTCCCACATCAAGGCTGCAATCTCAGCAACCTCGGAGGCCCTTGTTTTGGAAAATGCTTTTCTCCTTTTGGAAGAGGGCCCCAGTAGAAAGGCAAACTCTGTGACTGTCAGAGGTCTCTTTTGCACTTCAGCCAAGTGAGAAGAGAAGGGAGTTACCCTCCAGCTGAAAATACTCCCAGGAAAATAAACATTTTTCCAAGCTCTGCAGCGTATTTTCTCATGCCCTGGTGTCAGGGGCTGTTCTCACCTAGAACGAGCGAGAGGGAAGACATTTGTTTGGTGGCTAGCTTTAAAGAAGATTTAGCACAATAAGTGATTACAGATGGTCTAGTTCTGACTGCCTGCCCGCTGGATAAACCTGATGCTGCGCAAGAGACAATCGTTGCTGGGATTTAGCAGAGATCCAACAAATTAAGCAAGCTTAATTCAGGCTATCTTCAAACAATGCCTCCACCTGTTTTACTGCTGCCTTACCATCTGCTGCTCCCTTTCTACCTGCTGCAAGAGCAGCTTTCCCAGGCATCAGGCTTGACGATGTGTCACATCACATCTTGTCACGAAATACGGCGGCAGCGTAGTCTGAGCTAACCTAGCGAGATCAAAAGTTGAAGTGTGGCCCTCAGTTTGCAGATCTGTGTTTTGCCCTGGGAGAAGTGACTGCCTTATAATCACTGATTCGCCCAGGATTACAGGAAATAAAGTTATCACGATCTACTAGTAACAAAACGGACATTGTGGTTTTAAGGGAGCTTATCAGTGCATAAGAACTACATTATAAAGATATTCTGGTTAAGAGCGTGGTGCTGATAATGCCAAGGTTGCAGGTTCAATTCCTGTATGGGATAGCTGCATATTCCTGCATTGCAGAGGGTTGGACCAAATGATCCTTAGGGTCCCTTCCAACGCTACAAGTCTATGATTCCATAAATCTGATTTATGTTAGACTACACTGAATGTTTCAGATCCAAAACTGCAGCAGAAGGAGGGTGGGATGATGGCATTCACCCGGCCTCCCCAAAACCAAGGTGCTGCTGCTTATTGGGAAGGAAAGGGGGCAAGGGGGCAGGGAGGTTGGTGGCAGCACACTGGCAGCAGCCCTGGACTGGCACCATGCCAACCTTTGCCCTCTCTTTCCCATTAAGCAGTGGCGACTCAGCTATGAGGAGGTCAGGTTAAGTGCCATTGCCCCACTATGCCACCCACTTCTGGCCTAAAGACATTCCTCTAGCAAAATATGCCTTTGTGGTGTAATGGTTAGCGTGTCGGACTAGGACCTGGGAGACCAGGGTTCGAATCCCCACCAGTCGTGAAGCTCGCTGGGTAACTTTGTGCCAGTCACCGTCTCTCAGCCTAATGTGCCTCTCAGGGTTATTGTGAGGATGAAATGGAGAGGAAGAGAACCTTGAGCTCCTTGGAAGATAAATGTAATAAATAATGATCAAACGAATTGGGATAGCATTAGGCAGGGATGGGAACCTGTGGCCCTCCAAATGTTTCTGGATCCCAACTCCCATCAACCCCAGTCGACATGGACTGATATAATGTGGACAGTATTTTTGTTGGGATTATTGTTTCTCCAGTTTTTGCAGTTGTGATATTATGGCGGTAGATTTCCTGAAACAGGAAATCAATAGCCTCGCTAGCATCACTCTGGGCAGGGATGGCGAACTTGTGCTCTCCCACAGTTGTTGTTGGACCTCAACTCTCATCAGCCCCTGCCAGGATGGGCAGTGATCAGGGATGATGGGAGCTGTAGTCCCTCGGAGGGCCCCAAGTTCCCCTTGTTCCAAGTCCGCAGAAATATTCATAGAATTAAAAATACTCAAAACAGAGAGAAATGCTAGAACTGATTAGAATGTCTTGATGGTACAGCCTGTTCAACAGCAGAACAGGCTGCCTTATCAGAAGGGGGTAGACTCTCCTTTGCTAGAGGTTTTATTATGAGGTAATTGGTTTCCTACACTGGCAGCGAACTGGGCTAAACGATCTTTAAGTACCCATAACCTTCATGTAAAGTTCTGGCACAGGATCAACTGCTTTCTTCCGACCAGCAGCCCAGTGATACTAAGAAGACAGCTGAATTTGGTAACCAGTAATTTCAGGAGTTCCGATATCTGCACATCTCACTGACGCAGAAACCAGACGTGCTGCTTTATCTCCGCCGCTTGAGAAAACCCCTTCCACTTCCTCATCATACTTCCTGTCCAAATGCCCCAAATGCGGTCAAAAGATCTCTCTCTAGATTTTGCCATTGGGAGTTTGAAGAAAATTTGCAGGTAGTGTATCCTCCCTCTTAATAATTATTCCTTTATTCTTATTTATTCCATAATCTTTTTTTTAATGCTTTCTTGTTCTTTGCCTTGTAATGTTTGCATGAAAGGTTGTATAGAAATAGCTTGAATAAAGAATGGCAAGAGTCTTTTTCTTTAAAGTTTCATTCCAGTCATACAGAACAATCACTCTCCCCTTGGTTTGTCTACTCCAAACACCCACCCCTGCAACTCTCAGCATTTCATGGCTGTTTAGAATGATCAGTCCTCACAGAGCTGGTTTGGAGATACTCCTCCAGAGTGGTTTTTTAAATGGACTTCTGCAAACTTCCACTCCCCCTTGCCTTCAGCAGATGGCCTCATATTTTCAACTCCTTTGAAATCTCTCTTTTTTTTAAGTTGACAAATATTTCAATGACTAAAAGTATTTGAGCACAGCTGAAGCATAGCAGAAGACGCAAAACTGACTGACCCAGTACTCTTATCAACCCTGCTTTGTACCTTTGTAATCTGCATTCTAGCTATAGAAGGAAGTTGGTTTCCCTCCTATAACTCCTCTGTGCTAATGTTCTTTGTCGTGGCCAAGGCGAGGAAATGCTGACTCATGGAGGTGAGCATATCAAGAACTTTGCATCTCCTCTAACATGTAGCTAAGGAATGTCAATGTCACTGGACAACCAGGGCTAAATCTGCAAGTAAAGGAGGGTTGCCCATAAATTGCATCATTCGTTTGAGTTTCGATTAGTTATCAAGTTCCCACAGAAAAGGGTTTGTTGCAGTGTTGCACAGGTCAGTGGGTGGTATAAAACAAATCATTTAAAGAGAAATAGGTAGTAAACCTAATCATTCTTCCCTTCCCAGTGCCAGCCCTACCATTAGACAACGTGTGACAAGGGCAGATGCTGGACAGCAGCAGCAGATGCTGGCTGTCCCTCCTAAAAGCCCTAACTATTCCTGTCTGAATATACCAGATGACCTGCTCTGCTTCCCCTACTCTGCAAACTAGACTCCTGCCTCAGGTGCACTGGAGGATGCAATCCCATCATCATTGCATTGCAGGGGATTGGACTAGACAAGACACCCCCCACCTCAGCCTCAGCCAATGTGAAAAGCAGAGCAATACATTTGGTACCACCTTGGCTGCAGGAGTTGGTGGAAGGAGGTAAACAAGGCACCGTCCAACTGTCTTAGAGACTCCACCCCAGATTTGTGTAGCCTTTTCTTCTCCCAAAGATATCCCACAAGGCTTAGGATCAGAGTTTTCTTTCTCCTAGATAGGCTACTTTCCCAGGTTGACAAACCTCATCTGCCCCTCACTTCCCTCTACAGCATGTGCAGAAACCACCTAACTCACTGAGGGTTTGAGACCTATCAGCTACCCTCATGTGGTTTAGCTGGCCAGTAAAAGCCATTTCCCAGCCGCTGTTGCATACTGACAGCTTCTAGGAGCCGAGTGCAGGGTGGGGACCAAAGATGGACAAACTACCCCAGAAGGAACATGACATGTTCCCCACGAGAAGTACTACCCCTCTCCTAACACCCCATACACCCCAAAGTTGAAAGTAGAACTTATATAAAAATAATTCCCTTTGTACACAAACCCTTGGATATCTAAAAACCTGTCTTACATGTAGTTTTGTCCCTCGCCCCCCAGTAAAGGTATTGAACAAAATGCACCCCTTTGTATTGTTTGCTAACAATCTTATGTGCTTCTCTCGGGCAGAAAATAGGATACCCATTTATATACCTAATCCTTTTTTCCAGGACCCGGCTTCTCAAAGCAACCCTTGTGACATTAATAGCTTGAGGGCTCAACCCTTCCTGTTTCGACAGAGGTACAAAGTTTCTCACCATATCTTCTGCCTCAGCTCTTACGTCAATAATTTACTGGAAAAAAGAAGGGAGTGAGAAAATCAAGATGTTGACTGCGTTTTCAAAAGGAAGGCAGTGCGACAGGCTATGTGGCCCATTCCCTAATGCTGAGATGTGGGCGCTTGTCTACGCATGCCGAGTTGGGGAAATTCAACAAAAGAGGTATGGCTGGCCCAAGGCATTTTGTTATCTGAGACGAAACAACAAATAGTGCCCCCGCCAACCATGTCAAGGTGGATAGTTAAGAACATAAGAATTGGCTGAATCAGGCCTGTTCACCTGCGCTCTGCTCATTTGCAATTCCGAGCAACTTGTATTCAAAGTCATACTGCCTGTGATAGTGGAACATATTGGTCAACAGCCGTTGATATCTAAAGCAGCCACATAACATATTTTCCAAGTGCCCTGGAAAAAAACAGGCCATCCTGTTTTTTCTTGCAAGATCTCGGCAGCCATTTTGGGTGCCATGATCTTGCTGAAAAACGTTTTTGGGTGCCGTGTAAGATCTTGCACCCCACAAACGTGTGTTTTTGGGGGGCAAGGGTGAGGCACGGGAAGTGCGTCCCGGAAGACACGCATCCCAGTTTTGCATTGGAAGGTATGAAGCCAAGGCTGGCCCAGTTATCTTGTCACTTGAAGCAGAAAATCCCATAAATGTCTCTCATGGAGAGCAAAAATAATAAGTTAAATACCTAAGAATGTGCAGCCCTTTCGTGACACCACCTTACTCCCTAAACCTGCTCCTGAAAAGAGGGCTGTCTCCTCACCTGCTTGTTTCTTCCTGGAATGGCAAGGAATATGCACCTTTGCAATTGTTCTTCCTGGCCCCAGTGAGTTATTGGGGCACCCTTTGTGAATGCAGAGTCCGCACCTGTAAAGACAAACCCAAGGATTATTTGTATGTATGAAGCTCACTAGCACACTTTTCAAAACCTTGCTCCATTTGGCTGTGCTATTCAGCAGACTGCAGATCTTCTTTACAAATGGAAAGGAGCCAAGATAGAGCCCTTCTGCACCAGAAGGTCTGCTCCCTCTTAGCAGATCCCATTTGTGGGGAGCAGCTGCACCCGGACGTACAAAGCAGTGGACTAGAAACCTCCTGGCTACAGGATGTGGATAAAGGCTCCAGCTTGCCATTTGCAAGCAGATCCACTTGCAGAGAGCATTGTTTGATGGGCTGGAGAAGATGGCTTCGTAGTGTTGTTGTTGTTTAAATTTCCATACTGCCCTTCATTCTACCAATAGGAATAGCCCAGAAGCCTGCACCCTAATTTGGGACACTACCGGATTGAGGAGTGTTCCACAACAACTTTTTGTGGGTCACATCGCGCAGGAGAACCATGGGCATAGATGCCAGTTAAGACAAATTGAATCATGACCCTCTATATAAGCATGCATTGAAAAGTTGGTTAAAATATCTCTCACTACCACAAAGATAAAAACACAAAAACGGCAGATATATCGCTTCCAAACTCCAGCAGAGCTAGGCTGCAGAACTGAAACCAGTTTTTAAAAAGCATGCAGAAATGTCTCCATTATTCCCTCTTCCAATTTATTCCACCTCCTTTCCTCTACTTGCAAAGAAAATTCACACACACCATGTAACCATACTTCCTTATTACTCCTTTAAAATCTGCATTGCAATCACCTTTCCTTTGTGCTCTGTCTCTCATCCATTAAGCCTTGTAATGCTAATGCACATTTAACAGTACACAGTATACACAGTGCAATCCTACACATTTCTACTTCAACACAAATCTCACTGAGTTCTATGGGACTTGCTCCCAAGTCAGGCTATAGGATCACAGCCTAAATCAGCTATATCCACCTGCTTCCTTCTTCTATGGTTCTCAAAATCTGTCCTTTGCTCTAAACGCACACATGCCCTATTTTTATTTTATTTTTTATTTATTTTGTTCCCTCTCTCCATTCATCTTGGGGTAATTAGAAGAGGCAGAACTTTATCCTGCAAATGCAGTTATGGGTCTGGAAAACAGAAATGAGATGCCAGATGGAGGGCAGAAAGGAAGCAGACGGCTTTGGTTAGAACGGATTTCCTAACATGGAATGCATCAGTGAATTGTGGGAACCTTCCAACAGCAGGTGAAAGCATAGCAGCACCATTAAAAAAAAAAGTTTTCTCATTCCAGTCAATGATGTGGTAAAAACGGATGTTTCACATTTCTGTTCCAAACCAAATCAAAGCTGAACACACTTACTAAGGCATATGCCTTGCTGAACTGCACAGGGTTGACTTCTGAGTAAACATGCACAGAATTGCATTGTCTGGTTGCAATCCTGTGCACTTACTTGGGAGAAAGCCTTATTCAATAATTACTTCTCAATAGGCATATATTGAATTGGGCTACACACACACACAAAGAGAGAGAGAGAGAGGATTGAGTGTCTACCAGTTTGAAACCAACCAAGATAGCATTGTAGTTTCTCCATACTTACATAGGGGTGGGGAACCTTTTTTAAAGATTTCCTTCCACCCCTTTTATTTTCACTGCTTAGTGGCTCCTTACCTTCCTCAAGCTAGCCAAAGGGCCCTCTGGTAGTTTTCAGCTGTTTTCTCTCAATTGGGTCTTGTGCAAACACTCCAAAACAACTTCTGTGTTTCCTTCATGAACACTTCCCAGTGTACTAATGAAAGGCTGGATAAGAAATTATATATATATATATGAATATATGAATGAGAATGATTAGGCTGCATATATAGAATAATATATCATTTGTGTGGGTTTTTAATCTCTATAGTGTGAAAGTGTGAGCTTATGTATCTGTGGTGCTGATTTTTAATATAGGACCCCAGGCGGAAATTAATATTTGGGAAGTGGGTACTGTGGCCTTGAAGAGGAAATAAAAAACTAGTATGGAATAGAAAGCAACCAGATTTTTTTTTGGGGGGGGGGGCGAAAAGAAAAGAAAAAGAGTTTTGAGACTGGCTCCTGGATCTTCTGACTAGAGGCATATTAAAGTCATTACATCCTTTATGTTTATATGCTTTCATTTGGAAGTTATCTTTTCTTACTTGGTTGCATTTGCAAAGGAGGAAGGAGCACATGCAGCATCGAGCCTGCCTTGCTCCCCTGTCACCAGTCTTGGAGATTTGCAGAAAGGCACACTATAGTGATCAGGGCAGTGCACACTGCACATGCTCAGAGGCACCTTTTTATCACTTCATGAATGCCAAAGCTTAGCCCTGACATTCAGAACCGGATCCAAGAAATAAAACTTGGCACAAACAACACTCTATGTGGCTTGTCCCGCTCCCCAGTAACTATAGTCCAACTGCTCCAACCGGACATGACATTTCAGCACGTTTGAGTTGTTCTTGCCATGAATAGTCTTGCTCTCTGTCAGGCCTCCTAATGACCACTTTAATACAGTGGTGTGGTTGCCACTTAAAAGGGAATTGTGTAAATTTAATGCATAAAACAATTGGAGTGAACCAGGTAGTTGTGACTTGTGACACTCTTTAAAAAAAATATTGGGGGGGGGATTCAATTGGTGTGGCTGAAACTGTCACAACTGCGTGAGGAGCTAATTCACACAAACAATGTTCAACATGGAACCATCTCCTCGGATGCAGCTCCTTTTTGAAACGAACCGGGCCTAACAGCCACCTCAGACCTCAAGGCCTCCATGAGGGATTTACTAACAAGAACAAAAGTCACATTAGCTTGTTCTCAACATGGAAGCTGTAATGTTTGAAATGTGTTTTACTCTTGGTTTCACCTAGTCACATGGAAATGCTCTGTGCCTGCGTTAGGCACCTCATGGAATGGGTGCCTTCGAAAAACAATCACCTGTGACCTCCATGTGAGGTGATTAGATTCTGGCCAACAACAGTAATATCATTAGGAAGAAAATAGGAAGCAGGAAACTCCTCCCCTTTATAGGCCTTTCAATTGGAGAGGAGGACTCTTCAATGCTGCACGTGATTGTCAGTCAGACCAGAAGCTTTCCTCATTGGCCTGAATGCAAAAGGGATGGGAGAGGAGAATTCTTTTACACCAAGCCAACCTGCATATTTTGCCCTGAGATGACAGGTTTTAAAATGTCATTAACTTGCAAAATTATCTGTTGAAACCACGTGCATTTATCCATACAGATCCACACCAACCCCAGTTAACAGTGTGAAGTGTGAAAAATGTAAATTAGGGAAGGGAAAGAAGAATGCGTACTTCATGATTATTTTGTCCTGTTTGGTTCTTCTTCTCCACTTCTCCTGCACTGAATGATTGAATAAAATATATTTTTCACACAGTTTGTGTAAAACAATAAATAAAAACAATTCCTTGGCATTACTAGAGAACTGTTGGGTTTTCATTCTGCCTCAGAGTGCTTGCTGGGGAGAATAAGGGAACGTCCTCATCAGTCTTTTGAAGATCTGCTGACAGATCTTCAATAGCTGCTCTCATCCCGCTGCCGCCCCCCCCCGACCCCAGTCTATAGAACTATAATATTTGGTTTAGTGGTTAGAGCATTGGACTAGGACCTGTGAGGCCAGAGTTTGAAATCCTGCTCAGTCAAGAAACTCGTTGGGTGACCTTGCACCAGTCACAGTCTGTCAGCCAGACCTACCCCACAGGGTTGCTGAGAGGATAGAATGTGGAGGGAGAGAACCTTGAGCTCCTTGCAGGAAATATGGGGTAGAAATGCAACAAATAAAGAAAAATGTTATTTGTACAATCAGGATTGGTTCATGCATGCATGCATTTAACTTATGGTGTTCACACAACCCTCCCCATGTGGCGAAACATTGGTGGAGGGGGGTCTGGGGGCTGCACTGGTGCCTCACTGCTGGGTTGCCCCTCCGCTGCCTACACATTCAAACAGTGTGGGAAAGGGCTTTCCCCAGATACTGGTGCATTTAAAACTCCTCCACCCAGAGTTGGTCTCTGGTCCAATCGTGGCCCCTCGCTGCTTGCAGCTCCACCCACATATACCAGTATCCAGGGGAGAGCCCTTTTACACACATTGCAAACATGCAATGGTGTGGGGAGGTGGGGCAAGAGGAATTCTGCCAAGTGGGGCTGGCCTCTCTCACTGAGTGAAGCGGTACATGCTGTTCATGCTCCCTTTTATCAGGCAGCTGAAAAAGCTAATGGGATAGACTGAACTGCATTGGGTTGTCCCCAACATAGGGGTTATCCACACTTACCTTTTCTCTGCTCTTTTCAGGCATCATGGGAGCCAACTCCTAGGGGCTGAGGTCCCTTGCCTGGCCCCCAAATAAAATATTTGAGGGGGATGCCCCCCCCCAGTTGATGGGCATTGCCATTTAAATGGTGTGTATGTGCCACATTTTGTGATTATGCAGGATGGGGCTGAACTCCCCCGCTCCCCAATATTTTATTCAAGTTGTCAGGCATGGTCCATTGGAGCAAGAAAGCTTGGGGAGGTGGGGGGGGAGTGCAGATATCTTCCTGGAAACAGCAGTGCAAAAGTTAAGTGTGGAGAAGCCCTCAGAGCAGACCTACGGCCACCAATGCCCTTTAGTCTGTGGAAGGTGTGGTCCAGTGCTTTATCTTTGATGGCTCACTCTTCACACATGCAATACCTCACTTGAGGCAGCTGTCATCGAGTGATAGTGCAAAGGCCTCAGCTGACCCGAGACAAAGCTGAGGCAAGAGGAGGCCGCCCTGCCTCTTCCAAAGCTTGGTTACCTCAATGTCACTTGCCTCACACACACTTGGAAAACTGCAGTATAAGCACAATTCTCCATGCTCCCCTGACATTCACCTCTGCAGTAGGTAGGCGGGCTGGGGCGTAAGTGGGTCTCTGGGTAAGCTGTGGTACTCTCTGGGCGTTTTGCTCAGCTCCCAACACCCCGAAGCTGGGAGAGGCGGGAGCAGGAGCCCAACACTACCTGAGGGCAAGTTCCCCATCCCGGAGCTTGAGCAAGCGGCCAGCTCCTCCCCATTTAAATCAAGCTGCATCTTACGACCCAAAGGTCACACAGATCCCAGCCCGCTTAAGAAACAAGAGCCCGAAACTCAAATCCCCGCAACCTGTCTAATTAAACGCGCTCATCAAATTCTGCCGTGCGTGCCATCCTAACAACCCACAGTGTCCTTAGGAGCTGGAAAACAGCAGCAGCAAGCGGGGGAACAGGACTCATTCCGGGGTGGCGATTCCCATATCTACACGAGCACCAGGCGCCGATCGAGTTAAAACAGCCGCTGCTGCGAGCCCGCTCCCTCCTGGCTTTTGCAACTTTGCTTACTAACAACTATTTATTGTCAAGGGTGATCTGCAGAGCATTAAGCCCACAAACAGAAGCTCGCGCGCAATCCCCCCTCCCCTTTCTCAAAACAAAGAGAGGGGGGGCGGAATATGCAACCAGCAAAGAAAAAACAGCTGAGGCGGGAGAGCAACCTGGCACCCGCAGCAAACTCCGCCCCCCAAAACTTCTCCCTCTGCCAATCAGCGCCGGTCGAGGGCAGGGAAAGTTACTGACCCAGCTTTCCCAGCCTGGATCTCTCTCTCTCTTTTACCCCCCCCCCCCAGGGTGGCCCCAAGTCGAACGCCCCGGCTCATTTGCATGCCCCAATAGGGTGGCCGCATGCAAACGAGCCCGGAGACGGTTGGCTGGGGGTTGGCAGGATAACTCCTGCCCGGGGAGCCCTTTGTCCCTCAGAGTGGCAGCGCCGTGTGGGGAGAGGGAGGAGCGGGGAAGTGCGCGAAGGGATCGGCCTGAGCAGCGGGGCTGCAAGTGCCCGGGTGGGCGAGGAAGGCGAAGGGCAGGAGCGAAGCAGCGCCGCCGCCGCCGCCGCCCTGGGGATTTGACTTACTGGAGGGACACCTACCGCGGATTCCCCTGAGGGCAGCCGGAGGAGCCGAGAAGCAAGGCAGAGGGCGCAGGGCGAGGAGGAGGATTGAAGGCTGCCTCTCCCGTTCCCCCCGTTGGATTGGTTTCTTTGCAGGGGTCTGCAGCTGCAATATGACTCTGGAGGAGCTCGCTGGGGAGCACCAGACTTTCGGAAGGTACGCGGTGGCAGCAGCTGCAGCTCGGCTTTGCGATGCGTGGCGGTGTGGAGGTTGGAGGGACGGGAGTTTGCCTGCTGCAGATTTCGCGAAGCTCTCCGGATCCAGGCAGCACAGGGTCGCCCAGCTCGCCGCCGCGACCGCCAGTCGCCTCACAACTGGGACCGGTGGCGGGGAGGGAGAAAAAAATGCTTTGGTGCAAAAAAATAAAATTGCCTGGAGGGGATCTGCGGAAGAAAGTAGATCCGCGCGTAAGGAAGAAAACCGGGAGTCGATTGCAGAGTGTGCGTGTGTCAGAGAGAGAGAGGGCGTGGCGGGTTGTAGCTTTTTCCCTTCTTTTCTTTTTCCTGACAGGATAAGCAAGCGCACCTTTAACTCCAAATAACCTGCGCTTGGAAGCGATTTTCCTGTGGGAGAACTTGGCTCCCGCTTATTTCTGAACAGATCCCATTCAGGAGAGTTCCCAGCTCGGCTTCCCCTCAGTTTTGCAGGGCATGAGGGCGCCAGGAGGGAATGTGGGCTGGGGGGGGGGAGGCGCTACTTAAGGCAAGGTGATCCATTCCCCCCCCCACTTTTGGATTTGTTTGGTGTGTTTTATTTAAATAAAAACGCTAATTAGAGCCTCTCGCTGCTTCCCCACCCCCTTTTATTTTTTCTTCGGATGCCATCAGCATGGAGAAGGTAGGGGATGCCCTGGAGGAAGTCCTGAGCAAAGCCCTGACTCAGAGAAGCATCACCATCGGAGTGTATGAGGCTGCCAAGCTGCTCAACGTGTAAGTGAGAAACTGGCTTGCTGGTGCCCTTTTGTATTGATGAGTAACAAGAAACAGGTCCTCCCACCTCTCTTAGGGCAGCTGTGCCTGAGGACTTTTCTGAGGAAACACTAGATCAGTTAAGAGGCAAACTTGCACTGTGCAGATAGGAAAACTTCCGGGCAGCTGTGTGGACATTGAATACTTGATCATACATAACTGCCCCTACTTAGGCACAGAGTTTCGTCTGTGGGGCAGATTTCAGAAAAAAACCTCTCCCCCTTTTATCCACAATGCCAGAGTTCCAAGCACCCAGTTGACAGTTGACACAATGGGAACTGCTGAACAGCGGTTTTGAAAATGTGCCCGTCCCCTTTAGTTTGGTGCTGAAATGTAATCGGGTTCCCCTCCCCCTTTGTGTGTGTGTGGGGGGAGGAGAGAAAGTGCAACAAAAACCCTCCCCCTTGCTCCACAGACCTTAGTTGTAGATACATAGCCCTTGAAAATTCAGCTCTTAAAATCCAGGGTGTGAAAGGTCAACCACATTGGGTGATAGCCAATGAATTTTGACTTGAAATAGATACAATAATCATGTTCATTGATTTCAGTGGTGAGTGAAATTTAGCTGAGTACAGTTCATAGAAAATAACATAATAGGACACCCCCCCCCCCGGTGTATAGTATATAGACAGTCGCGTTATCATGTGTTCATATGCCCTGTGACTTTGGTTCCTGTTTTGTCTCCCTTATGTCATTGAAAAATGCATCATTGTTTGTTGGGGCTGTGACTAACTTAGCTGGCATTGTTTTATCCCTCCAGGGATCCAGATAATGTGGTGCTTTGTCTGCTGGCAGCCGATGAGGAAGACAACCAGGATGTTGCGCTACAAATTCACTTCACCCTGATCCAAGCTTTCTGTTGCGAGAATGACATTAACATACTCCGAGTGAGCAACCCAAGCCGGCTTGCGGAGCTGCTGCTCTTGGGGCGAGCGGAGGGGGCGAGCAGCCTGCAGACCTGCACTGTGTGCTTGTGACAGTAAGTGCTGTGTTTCATTATCATGTTGGGCATAGAGGGCAGCCAGCATGACCTCACTGTTGCTTCAGAGTCTCCTTCTGGACTGTACAGCATTTCTTTGAAAGAAGCTGAATTGCAAATTGTAAAAATCTGTCTAAATACTCTAATCTCACTCTGGCTTAAAACAAAAACTGTAGTGGTTTCCTGAGTGTCCTTGCGTTGGTGCACCTCTGCCTCTGTGGTTTGAAGGAAAGATCAGCATGACCTCCTTCACTAACCTTTTCCCCTGCACAAATCATACCACGCTTCCTACTTTGCTCATAGGGATTTTCGAGGCAAAGACATGTTCAAGCATGTTTCGTCCTGCTGTCAGCAGGAGAAAACAACCCCATGAGTCACTTTCTACAGTAACTCCCTGTCTATATTTGTCTTTCCTTATTACTAATTGGCTCAGAGGTCATTATTAGATAACTCAGTTGAACTGTGATGAAAAGACTCCGTCACTGTTACTCAATTCACCCAATTGAATGGGAATTGTGGACTTGTTAACCATAGCACATGAACATTGGTTTGTTTTTGAAAAATGATGTTTCTTTTACTGGTTTTAAAGAGAATAATTCCAAAATACCCTGTTGAATGTGCT